TAGTTTAAAAAAATAAATAAAATAGAATATCCCCTCTTCATGCAATCTATTCCAATAAATATAATTTAATTATTTATTTTTCAATTGTTTAAGAAATTTCCTTCTTCAGGTCAAATATACCAAGACATTTATTTTTTCTTCTTATCACTCAATCCATTACATTCTGTAGCCATCATTCATTCATCTCTTTCACTCAAGATCTTGCTGCTCGCCTCTGTAGCGCACCTGTGCAGCGCGCTTAGCCCAAGCAGAGAGGACGCTTTCGCTTTATTACCTGAACATCATTTCACGCTAACGTAAGCGCAAACGTTCGCATACAAGCCGCGACCAGATTCTCATCCAATATGCTTGCTTGCTTACTTGCTTGGCCCCCCGCCCCCACGCCTCGCCGGCTGAGTAACCCCCTCGGAGCAGCACAGCCCTTCGCAGTGGGGCTCGAGTAGATAAACAAGTGTAGCTTCCGCAAAAATGGGCAATCAACTTCAAATGGCAGCGTCGACCCACCTGACGTCCGGGTTCCCCCTCGATTGCAGCCGCCCTGTTACTTTTTAATACTTTTTATGATTATAACAATGTGTAAGGCGCTGTGCAAATACAAAATAACTTGTTTTCATTTCACAGCAACAGCAACAACAACAAACAGCTAAGACAACAGCAAATACGCCCTGGCCTGGGTAAAAATAATGAAAATCCCACTTGAAGCCGGTTTTCGGGGGCTTTATCCCTTTTTGCCACTTGTGCCATGGCTCATAATATTGTTTGGCTTAGTTTTACACTAAACTGGCTGGGGCGCAACCCCAAGAAGCAGCCCTTAGTTTGAGCAAAGCATAATTTATAATCGTAATATTGCGCATACGCCGCGTATTAAGGCGAACGCGCGTGTAAACAGCCTCAGCGGCTTATTATGTATTTTGATAGTCTTTTCGTGCTTTCTGCTTTTAATTGTTAACATTTCATTTAAGCCACACACACAACACATGCACACGCATACACACACACGCACACCCTCACATCGCACACATTCGTTAGCTTTGGCTTTGTCGAATATTCATTTATCAAAACGCTGCCCGCATTTTGGCGCTTTGTGCCCGACTGGGCGCCATCAGTGGCAGCCTGTCAGGAGCTTGTTCTGAACTCCAATCTCAATCGTTATGCATAGCCGCCCAGCCACGCCCACCCCAAACACCACCACCACCATTGCCAAGCCTGGGGCTAAAGCAAGCCATGACGTTTGCGTATGTCAAAGTTATCTAAATGAAAAATTGACTTTCATACACTCGCTATATAAATGCGCGTGTGTGTGTGTGTGTGTGTGTGTGTGTGTGTGTATTCTATGTGTGATGGTGCGTGTGTATGCCTCGCTGGGAATCAGCGTACGTTGAGCTGCGCTTCCGTTGCGTTGGATTTCGCATTTACGCATTTCCTATTTTAGATGATATTTCATACTTTTCTGCTGACAGCAGCAACAAACCAACCGCTGATGATGATGCGCGTTTATTATTGTTGCTTTATGGCTTTTGCATACTTATATGCATAGTCTGATTCCCAGACAAACCCCAGCCCGAGCCCAAAGCCAACCCAGCTCAGCCCATCCCAGCGCCAACTTCATATGCCTTCACAACTTCTCTCTATGTCTGTTTGCCTTAGGGATTATCAACTCATTGTGCATTTGCTAGTGCCACGCCCCCTCTCACATCAATGTGCCCCAGCTTCCGTCTGCCTGCCTGTCTGTCGCTTATCCGTTCATCCATTTACTCATTTGGCAGTTTGTCATTCGTTGTCTTCGCTCTGTAAACAGTTCAAAGCTTTAAACTGTTTGCTTTCAACTTAATTGGTCGGGCTATTGGCTTAATAAGATTCATTAACCATATGCCAGGGCAGCTTCATCGTTTTCACTCTGTCTATATTAATTGACTTTTGAAATGAGCGAATTTTAAATAAATTTGTGTGATATGAGAGAATTTTTAGTTGACCTGTAAGACCTGTAAAAAAAAAAATAATAATAATAATAATTATTGCTACTATTCCCATATCTCATTTGTTCCATATTTTTCACATTATTCTACATGATTCCTTCAAGTAATTGAACTCAGCTCAAATCGTATGATAAATGCGCTTATTTCGCAATTTCAATAACTTCCGTCAGCCATTAAATAGCTAATGGCCCCTACGTGCTCACATTGCAGCAGCTAGTTGTCTCGCTTTAACACACGCACTCGCGCGCCATTCGATTTTTAAATGTCAGCCTGAAAGTATGCAGCAAAATTTTGTTGCTGCATCAATCAAACTGCTAATACGCAGCGCAGGCCGAAACAATATAAAAGGACATGAGATGCCAATAAATTGTATTGTACTTTATACTCATGGAAAAACACGCAGCCAGAAAAAAGACAACAAAAAATTGCCAAATAAAATAAATTGAAAAACATTTAGCCGTGGCAGCCATCAATAAGCGCTGACAAAGACGCTGCTGCCAACAGCTGAGACCCTAACAGAAAAAAAAATCTATAAAATAAAAGACAAACAGAGCGAACAACGCAAAGTTCAGGACATTACGGGCAACTAATGTTGATATTGGCACGACCCGACCCGATCCGACCCAGCTCGACCTGACCCCAGCAAACCGACCAAAAGCCAACCACCAAACTCAACTCGCAGCACAAACAGACATAAAAAACATAAAAAATTGTGGAAAAAACAAATAGAAATCATTTTAGCCAACTGCAGTTTCTGGCAACAGTTTCAATTCGTGTCATATGCTGTCTTGGCAGCGGCTGCACATCTGCTTTTCCTGTTGTTTTTGTTACCCAATGCGTGTGCCTCGATGGGGTATATAGGTTGTGTGCTTGTTGGAGAGGAGGAGATAGATATACCTGTACTTATTTTTGTATATAGGCAGTCGCAGTATAGGCTCTAAGATTGTTCAACTTGCCTATCCAATCCTTTAAAGGCTCGTCAGCTTATATAACTCGGACAGTGAGGTGGATAGACTGATCTATGCGTCTATCCATTTGTTCATTCTTCAATAAATCCGTTCGTCTATCTCGTCATTCGTCTACCTGTGCGTCTGACCAGCGTTTCCTTCATGGCTCCAACAATCCTTTGTCCTTCTGTTCCTTAGCTTATCCGTCCACTAGATTAGATCAGTCCGTCCATTCTTCTGTCTATTCTTCCGTCCACTCGTACTTTTTTCGTCTTATATCTATAAAATCTACATTGCATTTAGAAATCAAATTTAGGCTGCTTTGCTTATCGATAGGTTTTTGTTTCCTCCTATAATCGATTAAAATCGATATTTTATTGGTATTCCCAGTACATTATAGATGATCTTGCCGTCAGTAACTCCCCGCTAAAACACTACAGATTCCATTTTTTGTTGTTCTTGTTTTATGGCACTTTAAATTAGAGCACATTTCTATGATTGCCTTCTGCGACGGGCCATAAACGGCGACAGGCGCCGTCGCGCAGTTCAATAGTTTTGTTTTGTTGTCGACTCGGCAAAGTGCCAGCCCAACAGTCGCAGAGTCAAACAGTCGAGCTGTCGAACAGCCAGAGAGACAACGACAGACAGCAGCTGTGACAGCTGCGATTTCTTAGTGCAATTCCCTCTACGCTACGACTACGCTATGGCTTATATAGCATATTGTTCTTGTGCCCACTTTTGCTGTTGTTGTTGGCCTATTTTTGGGAACGTGATGGGATGAGTGTGTGGGTGTATGGACGTGGGCGTGTGGGGCTGTCTGTCAATCGCATGTGACTGGGTCAAACTTTCTAAGCTACAACCGAAAGCCATGCACGAGTGTCCTTTATGTGCTTAACCCTTTCGATGAAATATGAAAGTGATTAGATGCGAGTCGGCTGAGGCCAGAAGTTATTAAGCCAGCTTAGAGCCGGGAGCTGTGCTGAAAAATGGGTTTATTTAGCTGATTAAGTAGGGTGAAGGATACCCTGTAATAACATCAGAAAGGCAGCACATGTGTTAATAGAAGAGGCAGCATTTGTTGACAATATTAGGCATACGAATTCATAATGAGATCAGCAGAAAACAGAGACTGTAAAAGGTTCTTTGGGTTTATTTGGTTATGCAATTTGATTTGATGATGTAGCAGGAACGAAATGCTGAACGAAAGATGCTGAACATGGTAGGGATAGCTGCGGAAATTTTAATACTCTTTACTTACAATACTCGAAACCCTAGTCAGTAAAATTTTTCTTATGGTTCTTTAGAGTGCTGTCAAAGCTTTTATATGCCCCTCAAAAAACTCGAAAAGCTTTAAAGCTCTCTTCAAACTCAAAAAAAATCTACACCAAACTCACATATCTTTTTCAAATTTCTTATAGCGTTCCATTAAATCTCTCTTAAAGCTCCTTTCAAGCTCTCGTTTCCAAAAAGAAATTCTTAATTTACGAAAATTCTTTATAAGCGCTCTTGAAGCTCTCTCAAAGCTCTAATACAGCTCCATATAGCACTCATAAATATGAATGTTCTCCATTGATCCACTTGCCTAAAAACCTTCATTCTGCTCTAAGCAACAACCTCATCGTAGATGATAGAAACGTAAACACAATCTATTTTATTTTACAAAAGAGAAGAAGAAGAGGAACTATTGGCCCAAGCCAACCTGCACTGGTTTGCTGCTCCCTTGTTAACCCCACTCAATCAGTGTACGAAAGCATTTCGTTTATTCATTTATAGAACATCAATCTCTCATCCGGCAGACAAGCGAACGATATGCCACATTCAGCTGAAACACACAAAATGCATTCGCATATGCAACAGTTGCCCTTCTCCCTCCCTCTCTCTCCCTCCCTCTCTCACTCATTCTCTCTCCCTCTCTCTCTTTCTATATCTACCTCCAATAGCCAATGCCGCGTAACCCATTTGCCATGTTGGTTCGATAAACTCGTCATGGAGCTGCCTGACAACACGGCGCCAATAGCAACACCAACAACAACAAGGGCTGGGAACAACAATTGCGGAACAACAACAACAACATTTCCACAGTGCATTGGCAAATGCCCAACGGTAAGGAAGCAATCTCTAACTTAATACGGAAAACTTGTAAAACGGCAAAGCAAAGCGAAATGGAAAAGCTGAAAGCCAAACGCCAGCCGGAGACCAACAAAGCCCCAATCCAGAGTCAGGCCCCAACTCAGACTCATGCCAATGCCGTTGCCAATCCCTTCAAGCGTCCAATGAATACATTGCAGAAGCAATGGTATCGAGTGCTTCTAGCCAGACGCGTGGGCTTCGGCCAGAGGCCTCAGCCGAGCGAAAAGGAGCCCACCTAGTACGTAAGATCGAATCAAATTGTGTGAAAATTGCAATTTCCTGTTGATTTAATACATTTTACAATTTTCTCACCCCCCGCCCCTCCGTTACGCCCCCTTGTTAAAGCGCTGACATATGCCATAGACGCTATGTAGCCGCGTTTCGCAGATATAACGAGCGTTTCCGCTGGGAAATGGCAATGCACGAGCAGATGCAACGTTGCGCCATCGACGCAATGCGCGTGCACAGGTGAGCGAAACAAATTCCGAGAATTCAATTAGCCAACTCCAATTTACCATCCACAATTTACAATTCACAATTCGCTTTGACAGTTCCACTTGATAAGAGGTTTCATTGCAATAAGCTCATCTCTGTTAGCTGACAAAAACGAAAAGGAAATAGATAGCAATGCATATTTAACTAGATGTCAGGCCTTTAACATTTAGATGGACTGCTCAGGCAGAACTTGACAGCTAGAGCTTGTGCTGCAGTAAATACTTTTAACAGGCGGTTAATAATTGAAGGCAATATTACTCCTGCCTATTAGGATTTATGTATGCATGCTTAACTGGCAGTCAACTTAAGAGAACAACAGCCTTTTATACATATTCGTTTCCTTTCTTTGATATTTAACATTAGGATAGACTGCTTGTCAAACTGTGACAGCATGATCTTTTAATTTTAAAAATGTATTTAATTGATTTTTCATTTTCTAAAGGCCAGCTATTCAAACACATATAATTTTTTAAGAATATATTCTTTCCCTATATATTTAACTGCCAGTTAAGTTTAATGAAAAGCAATCTGATATGCTTTCTTCTTTGCTTTCATATCTTTGCCAAACAGTACATTTCACAAAATATGTGGAAGGTGGAAAGATGTGTAAGCTTGATATGAACTTTTTTTTCTAAGAATTCATTTATTACGGCTTTTCGTCTTAGACTCTATAGCGCAGTCATCATGAAACTATAACCTAAATAGATGAACTTTTTATTGATAAATTTTTGACAGTTCCATTCACAGTAACAGCACTAAATTTAACTGGCAGTTAGATTTGATCAAGAAGCAAGAAGCTGTTTAACCATAATATAATCAACTTAATTTCTCATCAGATACATCCCATTTAACTAGTAGTTAGCGGTAGCTATAACATTCGCTGTTAATTCCTAAAAGTTTACTCATTGCCTACAAGAGTTTTCTACATTTAAACTGGCAGTTAATCACCTGACATTTATCGATATTCGACACCCATATATGCAGATGTAACACTTGCTCAAGCGTTTTCCATGCACTCAACTGTCAGTTAACTACTAACGTCGACTTCTTGCCCTGCAGAACATTTTCGATCACAACGCTGTGGCTGCCGTTGCACTCGAAACGGGAAATCAACTCAACGCTGGAAACGCTGGAAAAGGTTCTGACAGTGAAGGAAAGAAGACGCCTCGAGGAGATACTCAAACGACTCGAATCGCAGCGCACGCGACGCTTTTAACAGATCTAATGACTGCCGCCCGCGCGCTGCCAGGCTCGAGCACTCTCTCACTCGCTCACACTCCCCCTAACACCGCGCTCTCCCTACCGAGTGCAGCTGGAGTGAAGCAGCGAAAAGCACTTTCGAGTGCCGCACTTACCCCGCACCGGCAGCCCGGCTAAGACGCGCCCCCTTGGACTTGAATTTCACTTTGCAGTGAGCCACGTTTTGGAAATTGCTTTTCCTGCTGATGCTTTGTCGTAAATATTTAATACAAATAAAAGTGCGACTTTCACTTCATTTGAAGCGCAGCTCGTGTTGGGGATTCACAATTATCTGGCCCTCGGCAGCCGGGTCTCAGCTGCATTCGCAAATATGCAGCAGTTATGCTAAGTAGCTGCGCGCAGCAGTGTTGAGTAACGTTCGCTGAAAATTACCGACATTCTAGTCAAATTGAAGGACAAGTGATTTTTGCATAAGCTGCAG